ACATCAGACTGACTTTTACTGTCTATTAAGTAATCTGTTTTAATGTGAAAGAAAATTCGGACGCGAGTTTTACCTCATTTTAACTTAGATGCTTGTTATAAATAGCTCACAATCAGGTGTAATTTATGATTTTGTTCAATTTGTGTAAATAAATGATTGCATAATCTTTTATGAATCAACTTGAACAGTCTGAGTTCCCTCATTGTGTCACTTCCCTTTGCACAGACAAATATTAAAGTAATGAGGAAACCTTGGTAAAATTTACTCTCATCACCTAGTTATGGAAAGATGTAAAGGTGAGCTATTTGCATAAATAACTCATCTCTTACAATATGCACAAAAAAGTTGTGTTCACCAGGTTCCACACACACGTCAGGATGCATCAAAACAAACGTTGCATGAATGTGTGAGAACATGTGAACAGCCACACAAACCTTTTCAGTCGAACGTTTTAAGCCACAAACTACCGAATCTGAAAATACACTGATATTTGACTCCATTCTGTTTTCCATATGTAARGAGCATCTGAACCTGATGTTATTAATTTATTTTGAGTTTCAGCTTTTCAGGTATAAACCTGAAGGATGAAACTGAACCACATTTAACCTCAGACAACATAAAATAAAATGCCTCAAAACCTTAAGAAACAWCCCCACTCCATGTAAAGTTTCTTATATTTTTGTCACATGTGGATGTAAACAAACATCTGTGTCTTCTAACTTTCACTCACTGTTTAGACCAGGGGAGTCAAACTCATTTTCACTGAGGGGCACATGAGCGTTACGGTGGTCCTCAAAGGGCCAGTTGTGCCTATGGATGATCGACATGCAATATGGGAGATTAAGTTTGTGGTCGATGCTGGATTTAAAGCAGCTTATTTTAAAGATGTTATTACTGAGCTATCTAACTAAATTGCTAAGTTACATATAGCCAACAGCTCAGGGGCAGGATAAGTACTATTTATTTTGTTGCATTTAACCATAAATTTCAATTTCACCATTGATATAAAACAATTTTCATATTAAGTAAAAAAAATAGTTTGACACATGTGGTTTAGACTGACTGTCAGACACACCAGTACCTGCCTGATAACACATGTAATGCTGCAACTTATAACTTGCACACCCATCACTGATCTACATGTGGACCAAATAAGACATGCTAAATAATTATGTTTTTGTCAGTAAATGTACATTAACTAGGTGTACATCAAAATTAAGTACTTTTGTCCCTGTAGGACTGACATTATCTTTGGATCCTAATTCAGATTAAAATCATGCTAAAGATCAAGCTATTAGTTATTTTACATTTCTGCGTTGTGTAGTTTTTAGCTCGGGTCAAATTATCTGGTAATATTTAGAGGTAACATTAGGTAACTGAACAGCAGCTCTGAACAAAWAGTGAAAACTAAACTGCAGCTCAAAAATATGTCAATCAATAAAACACCAGTTTTGACTCTGTTTAAACCCCTTTTCTTACACAAATCTTTATACTGGAAGATGGGTTTTTTGGTCAGATGAGAACTTGAACATGAAGCAGATGTGTTGGCACATGCAGCCGTGTGAAGCAGAGATATGAAGCACAACAACAGAGAGATAATGTGCTTTCTGCAGCCCGGTGGTTTAAAATATTTATTGCAGAACCTTGAAGCTCCTCCACTCCTGGATACAAACCTTCTATTTCAGAAATCTTCTTTTCAGTTTCCTTCTCCATGACTTTCTGCCCAAACTTAATTTCTGCAACTTGTGCAACTTTTTCTGCCTCTACAAAACAAAAAAACACCATTTATATTCAGCCTGTGTCGAGTAAAACCACTCAATAGATCAAGGACTCATTGCTTTCCCACCTATCACAGCTTTAATCCTCTCGGTCTCCGCCTCCTTCTCCACAACCTTCTGTGTCTGCTGGGAAATCAGTAGCTTCGTCTTCTCACTCTCCCTGGAAAACACAGTTTGACATCAAAGGCTGACTTATTCACAACTACAGAACTGGGGTTTTCACATGGCTTTTCTTCAGATTTTGATTCATGCCACGGTTTCAGTAAAGAACTGAGCAAACATGTTTTTGAAGAAACTCTGGGAGGTTTGAGCAACGTGTGATTGTTTGAGTCAGAGCAGTGGGAGGTATCCAGCATTTGAACTTTGGGTGGTCATGAACTAAAACATCCCGCTGCACATTACATCTTGGCTTTTATCATCAGTAATAAAGTAACCCTTCCTGCCCTCTAAGTTCTAACATCTGGTCAGAAGAAAGATTCCAAGTCCCAAACTCCACAAAACTCACTGAGTCGCCCAACTATCTGGATCAGGTTCAGCAGCATCCTCAGGCTCAGGACTCAGTTCAAACATGATCAGTTACCAAAGAGAAAAGGCATCAACCACACAATCAGTTTGTGTGGTTGATGCCTTCAACCACAAAGAGAAGTTGTGTGGTTGAAGGCATCAACCACACAAACCAAAATCAAAATTTGGTTTGTGTGGTTGATGCCTTCAAAACTATATAATACAGACTCTGATGTATTAGATACGTGCATAAAAAAGGAGAAAAATCCAAATAATTTTAAGATTTTAAGAGAGGAAATAAGCTTAGTATGTGAGAATATACAGCAGCAGTTATTTCTCTTAAGCCTTGTTTTATTTATTAATAATGACTTCATTAAGCCTGAGCTGTATTTGAACGTTGATCAACGTGTCAGGTATTTTTTCCATTTTTATCTTATATATACAGTACACTGCCTGACCAAAAAATAAATAAAATAAAAAATAAAAAGATGCRACCTGGATTTAACTAAGTAAATAGGTATGAGCCTTCTACTGGATAATTACTGCAGTTGGCGATTATCTTTCAGCTGGAAACAAGTTATTTAATCCCAACTGGTGCAATGAGTTGCTTCTCATTTCTTCAACAAATATGTCTAAAGACATCTCGTGGAGAAGACGTCAGTCTGTTTGAAGAGTCAAATCATTGGCTAACTGAAAAAAAAGGGCTTCAATTTGCTTGGGAGCATAAAGATTGGACTCTGGAGCAATGGAAGAAGGTCATGTGGTCTGATGACTCCAGACYGACTCTGTTCCAGAGTGATGGGTGCATCAGGGTAAGAAGAGAGGCAGGTGAAGCGATGCATCCATCATGTCTACAGTACAGCCTGTGGAGGCAGGTCTACGATGTGGGGTTGCTGCAGGTGGTCAGGTCTAGGTTCAGCAACAGTCTGTGCTCAAAGAATGAGGTCAGCTGACAACCTGAATATACTGAATGACCAGGTTATTCCATCAATGATTGTTTCTTCCCTGATGGCACGGACATATTCCAAGATGACAATGCCAGGATTCATGGGGCTGGAATTGTGACAGAGTGGTTCACGGAGCATGAGACATCATTTTCACACATGGATTGGCTCCACAGAGTTCAGACCTAAACAGTCTAATGAAATATTAAGATTGTGTGACCAACCTTTTTTGGTCAGGATGTGTATTTTATCTTATAAAGGTTTTAGAGRATTTCTATAAACAGGAGTGGTCCAAAATTCATCCTGAKATGTGAGCAAACCTGATGACCAACCACAAGAAAAATCTTTCTGCTGAGCTGCCAACAAAGGTTTCTCCACCCGGTGCTGTGTCATGTTTTCATCATATTGTTTTACTAGATGACAAATAACCCCCTACCACCACACACACACACACACACACACACACACACACACACACACACACACACTAAAGCCCCTTCTCCATGAGCATGTTTCTACTCTATTCGGTTCAGGTCTGTTCGGTTCTGCTCAGTTGTTGTCTGTCTATACCTCACTGTGTCCCTCACTCTGTGGGTGTGATTAAGGGTGGAATGTCTGCGGCAGGTTCARTTGTGGTTAGAAAAAGAAAAAGAAGAAAAAATAGAAAAAAGCCATTGTGGTTTTACCATTCGAACTTTTAAATGTGTTTATTTAATTATTATCACAGTGCTGTTTATAAGTGCTTATGTAACCGTGTGCATCCAGTTTGTTTGAAACCTCCTTGGGTATCTGCTTAGCTTTGTTTTCTTTACCACTCTCCAGGAAGTGTTTGCAGGTTCTGCCTTTCCCAAGATCGCTGAAAATGTTAAACCATGGTTTTATCACTGCTCTCACCATGTTGTTGTTGTCTGTCCAGGAGGAAGTTTGCACAAGTAACACCTTTCCTCTGTCAATCAATCCCAGAGCTAATCCACGAGCAGCATTCTGCTGATGTCAATATCATAAGCATGCTGTACTCGCTTCTACCTGCTCAGAACCACCGGAGAGGAGGTACTGAAAGTAGGAACCTAAATTGAGACACATTTGGCTGCGGCCRAACCGAGCCAAACCACATAAAAGGCACACCAGTGGAGAAGGAGCTTCTCTCTCCTGTGGCCCAAAATTCAACGACATTTGGGAGTGTCAGGCACCAACAACATGCTTGTTTTTGACAGAAAATCCAATATGTTGTGTATAATGTGAAGAGAGAACAAAATAATAATAACACATCAAACTTAYATGGCACTTTTTAGGACACTCAAAGATGCTTGATGGTGGTAAGCTGCAATGTAGCCAGAGCTGCCCTGCACCAGCACCACTGGTCCCTCTGACCACAACCAGCAGGCAAGGTGGGTGAAGTGTCTTGCCCAAGGACACAATGTCTGAGATGGATGGAATGGGGTTCGAACTGGCAACCTACTAAATACAGGACAACTCMCCAAACCACTCTGCCGCCCCAATAAACTCAATGAATATAACAAAGCAACCAGAGAAAATAAGGTTTTGTGAACAGTCAGCTGCACATCTGCAGGTTTATGTCCTGTTTTTATTCTGCTCGTAAAGAAATTTATAGTTATTAGAGGTTAGTACTGATGTTAAAAGCACAACACTATATTTTTAGGTTTTCCTTTTTATAATGTGGACAATGTTTAATCTTTTATGTTTTGATTGATATAGATTAGTTACAAGTCCGAATTATAACAACACATAATTAAAACATTATGATAACAGTAGATGAGATTTTTGTCTGAGTGCCTGTGATTCAGCCGTAGGTCAGTAGAGGGCGAACGCAGGCATTGAAGAATCGTGTATAAATTGATGTACTTCCTGGTTTTTCACCAGTGTGGTTTCCTGTCAGCTCCGGTGGCAATAAACCTCACTCAATTCCAGAATTCTGGTATTGTATGGTTTGATTCCTTCTACAAATCATTTTATTTAACAATGGTGTTTTTAATATTGACTTCAGTTTATTGAATACATATTTTTCTTACACTGGCATGTATTACTCTGATCTGTCTTCCACAAACTATCAGCAGATCTGTGTTTTTTGGGGGCATGTGTAGGGCTGAAACGATTCCTCAAATAATTTGAGTAATTTGATTACAAAAAATCCTTGAGGCAAATTATCTGCCTCGAAGCTTCCTAAAAATACACTGTTATAATCAGCCCACTTTCGTCTGCCTGGAATGTTAATTGTGTTCTACACAATGCTACGATGTTAGCGCTTCCGCTAACAGTTGCACTGTTGACGCGTCATGCGTGTATGCTTGCTGAGCACTATATTTAGCTTTAGAAGAAGATGAAGAGTATCGAAACGAAGCACCCAAAAAAACGACAAATTATAAAAAGCATGGGAGCATTTAAAACTAAACAGAAAAGACGACAACACACAATGCTCTGCACATCCTCGATGTTTCTGCACCGGAACAAAAACAGTGGCTGCATTGTACCGAAATAACACTTTTATTTGTTGGTATGCTTTTATCTTAGTTTAAATACTTGAAGTAAATGTTTCAAGTTTAAAAGTATTTATAGAAGATAGTTGGATTTTTTTTAATTATTTGCTGCTGCTTTTTATGATTTTAGTATTCATTACTATTGTCATAATTGTTTTATTGCTAAGCAGTCAAGACTAAATCTTTTATTGCCTAAACGGGAGCCCTGCATCAACCTAATAACAGTCTTAAAATAATTTTTTGTTAAAATTAACAAATGAACTCTACAAAACTCAACTGCAACACCCAAGTGTTTATATTACCCATTTTACTTATTAAATTTCAAACCAAAATTTAAAAAAAGGGTTCAGTTTTCCAGTCCATAACAATAAATTTACAGCATTTAGATTTTTCAGTGTGACGGTTAAAAATAATTCAGTGACAGAGTGCTTTTAATTAATGCCTCCACAAATACAAACCTCACATTTATAAATACAAACAAATGGAGTTTAAAAAGCATTAATTAATACAACTTATATTGTAATTTTACTTTGATTGCAGCAGGGTCATCAGCAGGTGTACATTACCCCTTCACTATATTAAATAATTGTATTTCTCATAAAATACACTTAAATAATTACTGCAGAACATGAC